TTTCCACTTTATTATCACTTTCTGGCCCACGTGTGATAACGTCCTCTGGGTGACCCTCTACCATTGGGTTTTCTTGGCAAGATTTGTTCAGAGGAGATTTGCCATTGCCTCCCCCTGAGGATGAGAGCATGTGACTTGCTCAAAGTCACCCAGTGGGTTTCATGGTTGAGCGTGAATCGAATCCTGATCTCCAGAGTTGTATTCCAATGCTCAAACCACTATGCCATGCTGGCTCACCATTGCCAGCACTGAAATAAGTTTAATCTGCCAATGTATTTGGCTCTCTGATGTAGAACTGGGAAAAAAGGAAGGATCTTCCTGTCTTTAGCCCCAGGCAGCAAAACATCTTCAGCCATCCCTGGAGTGCTGCACTGTGTTATTTACAGGGACTGTGCTCTCTGCCACTATCTCAACTCACCTGTTTGTCTCCAAATTAATTTCAGATGTGTGATTCCTACAGAGTTAATTGGTGTTTTTTTCTCCCTAGCCAAAGCAGGGAGGAATCCTGGAACTGTTTTTAAGGTGTGTGTGAGGGCCAACATTGTCAGATGTTGTGTGCCTTCAAGTTATTTCCAACTTATGGTGACCCTAAGGTAACCCTATTATGGATTTTTCTTGGAAAAATTGGTTTAGAGAGGGTTTACCTTTGCCTTCTTCTGAAGCTGAGAGAGTGAGACTTTCCCAAGGTCACCCAGTGGGTTTCCATGGCCAAGCAGGGATTTGAACTTTGGTCTCCCAGAGTCCTAGTCCATTATTGCTCAAACCACTATACCACACTGGTTCTCCAACATTGGCAAACAGATCATTATTTATTTGCCTGCTTACAGTTTCTTGCTCTTACTCTCTGTATGTGTACCTGTCTTCAAGTCACCTGTCTATTGGTGACTTCATGAATTTCATAGGGTCTTCTTAGGCAAGGAGTACTTTCTCTGGGAAGGGCCAATTACTTTCCCCATCCATTAGCATTGAAACATTGTTACATATGAAGATTCTTACACCTACAATATGTACTTAGAAGTGCTCTCTGTGTGTTCAGTCAACCTTCTTCACATGTAAACGGTCCATAGGATAAAGGGGGGTTGCAGACTGCCAGAAATAGTGCAAATTGAGTCCACTTTAAGGGTTAGGGTTAGGGTTAGGGAATCATTGGAACTGTATTTGATTGTGGCACCAGAGCTCTCTGACAGAGAAGGCTCAATGTCTTAGGGGGGGAAAAAAACCCCAGTTCCCATGACTCCCTAGCACTGACCCTAACCCTAAAAGTGGACTCAATTTGCACTATTTCCGGAAGTCTGCAACCCTCCGCAGTCAGCCTTTATTATTCCTAGGAAGAATAACCTATGTCTTAATATTTCTCACTACTTGATCATTTAGAGCCAATGTGGTACAATGGTTTGTGCACTGGACTATGACTCTGGAGACCAGGGTTCGAATTCCTGATCAGGCATGGGTGATCTTGGGCAAGTCACATTCTCTCATCCTCAAGGGATGGCAATAGCAAACCCCCTCTGAACAAATCTTGCCAGGAAAACCCCATGAAAGGCTTGCTGTAGGGTCTTCATACATCGGAAAAAATGATTTGAAAGGAAACAACAATAAACTCGATCATTTGGTACATTTCTGACTGATAGTGCCTAAATTAAAGTCTTGGTGGCTCAATTTCTCAGGTCATTTCAGCAGGAAACATTCCCCTGCTTCAGCCTAGTCTTACCATTCTTTCTTCTATCCACATTCTGGGATCCAAGAATGCAGGCATAGACCTCTGTAGCCCCCGAAGGGAATAATCTCTATGGATCTCAGTGTGAGGTGTTGCTGTTGTTGTTGTGTGCCTTCAAGTCTTTTCCAAATTCTGGAGACCCTAAGGGGACCCTGTCAATCATGGGGTTTTCTTGGCAAGGTTTATTCAGAGGAGGTTTGCAATTGCCTTCCCCCTGAGGCTGAGAGCATGTGACTTGCCCAAGGATACTCAGGGGGGTTGCAGACTGTCAAAAATAGTGTGAATTCAG